GGGAGGTAATCAGTTATTCAGAAGCGCACATATTTACAGAAACGTAGTCAGAAACGAACGTGAGCGACTTGTAGTTTCAACAAGCGGGTCAACTAAAGAGCAAGGCCTTGCGTGCCTCCATCATGCCAGCTGGCGAAGACTAGCGCATGACCGCTTGCAGAATGCAAGGCGGTCTTTTGTCTTCACCCAAACCTCCAGTGATGGCAACCCAAGAAAGATCACGTGTGAGTGAGTCGGTTTTTGGGTCCAATGGCCGTTTTCCTTCTGGCGTCGCTGGAAGAACCACGAAGGGAACTCAAAAAACCAACTGGGCTTTTGCATCAGGTCGATGACCCTTTGGCTCCCTGGGCGGACCACCGGGAAAGGAAACAAGGTGTCGTCTCTCTCTCCCTCTCTCTTGCCAAGGGCTAGTCGACCTTTCTTCCCGTTGGTTTCCCTGATCTGGCCCATGTTTCGTCATCACCTTGTTATTTTGTTTTATTTTTTCCAGGCCCCAAAGGGGCAAGTGAGGCCAAAAGGTGTCCCGTTTCCCCACGTTCAGAGAAGCCTCAGCTTCTTCTTAATTGGTGGCGTGGATTGGTTGGGGATTTGAACCCAGCTCCTTTTGAAACTTCCATTTGCTTAAGATTATGTGTTCTTTTCCCTTGTTGTGTTGAAAAGGAATTTATCACTACTGGAAACATGTGTTTTTTTGCCCTAGGGGTCTTAACCAAATGGAAGGATAGCAAATGAATCAATGAAGGTAGCCAACCTAACGTCCAAACCAAGCCAAGCCAGCCTTTTTGGGGAGAAGCCGGAAGCGCCAGTTTTCGCGACACCCGGCGTCCTTTAAAGACACTAGGTCCCCCAGCTTGGTGCCCTTCTGACACCCCCTACCAAAATAGACAAAAGAGAAACAAGTTGGTCCCAACTTATTCTACCCTCTCAGATCTGGAGGACCTAGGATAGACAGGGGCAGGTTTTTTCAGTCGCTGTTGCTGTCTTCTTTTTGGGGGTAAAGTGGATGGAACAAAAGCGCGATCGCCACTGGATCGATCCAGGAGGTGTCGATTACTTGTGGCTCCCAGCCATCCGGTGCCTCAGCTTTTCAGCCTTTTGGTGCTCAGTGGTAGTAGTGTTCACTGGGCTCCTTAAAAGATACATTTTCCAACCAATTGAAACATGTTGCTTTTTCACCATTTACAAGTTGCAATGTTCAGGTGAATAATGTAAGGATCCCTGTTCCATTTAACTCAAAAGTTAAATGTTGGGGGATCAGAAAACGGGCAGCGCAGATTAAACAGAATTCCGCTGGAGGTTGGTGTGCAACACCTTAGTTTTTCGTGGGCAGGGCACGAAGGTTGACGGCCGAGGCTTCGGCAAGTCCAGCTCCCGGACCGGCCAGAAGTTTCCAGTTGCTTCCATGTGGTTAAGAATAGGTTTTTCGTTTATTTATTTTATGTTTCCCCCTGTTTGTTTTAAAGGGAATCAATCACTACTGGGAATATTGTGTTTTTATTTTGTCCAGGGGACTTAAGCAAAATTGAGGTTTGCCTTTCAGCACATGTTTCTTTGTTGGTTCTGAACTAATTTTAAGAGGAATCAATTTCGCTACTGGAAGATACTGGCTCATTTGTTCGCGGGCCGGAAAGCAGAGGCAGGTTTCTCCATCTGTTTTTTCCAAGCGACGGCTGAAAACTGTTCTAAGGGGGGGGGGGGGTAAATCGGACGATCGAACTCGGCGATCGACTGTTGGGGCGGCCTGGCGAAGCTTGGGGAGCCTTCCGTTCGTTGGGGATAGGCTTAGGAACTGGCACCGATCCAAATTTCGGCTGAATTAAATAGCTTCTGAATTGGCAGGCTCATTAATGTATTTTGTCTGGTTTCCTTTCAATCTTATTTCATCTCAAGTCAAAATTCAATTATTTCAGACATGGCCCAATCCGTGTTGCATGCCCCTAGTTGCTTTGACAGCCGTTTGCTTGTTGCCGATGTGGAGGCGCCATGAATTTTGGTATGATCTTGGGGCAATTGTAAAACATATTCTTTGTTTCATTTCCGCAATTTGTCTCCAGGTTTTAAGGAAAAGTAAATGCTGGCAATGTTTGTTTCCTGACTTTGGCACGAAAGTTCCCAGTGATTCACCAAAGAACAGATGAAGGTATAGAAGCAAGCTGGGCAAATTACAGAAAGTTGACGAATCCCCTGACTTTTCCGCCGGGGAAGGGGGTCAGCAAAAGCCACCGGATTTTCTGCAATCAGGAAGTCCCCCAGAAGGAACCTTCAATACTGTGGATGGACGAACTCCTGCACCGCTTGCAAACCACAGGAAACCATTTTGTATTTTTTACAAGGGGAATCATCCTTTTGGGCTGCCTGAGGTGGTGCAGGATTTTGTCCATCCACAGTATGACAAAAGATTCCATAGGCCGTGATTCAGGCAGAACCAAAGCTGGTTGCCCAGCTGCGATTGGGCCATGTCCTCAATACCCGGGGAGGTCAAGGTTAGTCCCAGCCAGAAATAGGCAAAGATATCCGCCCGTTCAATGCTTACAGGATTTGGGTGGACCATTTGAATGTTTGGTTTTGATGGTGACAGCTTGCTTTTGTCTGGAATATACGCAGCGGCATCGTGTCCATCAGCTCATGTTTGACCTTGGTGGCCTTGTGGTGCGCTACGTGGCCGAGGGGCTTGTTCCTTGTTTCCTCCATGGCTCATCTCTAAGGCTGGACCCCCATGGACAGCAAAGGGTTCCCTTAGCCCGCAGAACGAAACGGGCTTCCAACACATCCTCTTGCAGCTTTCTCTCTGTTCACTTTTTGAGTGCTCGGCAAGCTTAGGGCGAATCGAAGGGACGGTTGAGGCTTAGGGCCTCAGGGCGTCCAGCCTCTCATCAGGCGTCCCGCCTCAGAAACCGAGTTGGAGCGGGAGTTGGTTGCGGACCGCTGAGTACCGCTGGACGAGAGGCGGAAAAGCCCGACGTTGGAAAAAGAGCGCCTGAGCGAGCGAGCGCAGAGTGCCGAGTCGGGAGCCTAACGGCACAAATCCACTCACTCCCTTCATGGATTTTAGTCCTTGTTCGGGTCTGTTCGCCATGTGAAATACCAGCCGCAAATCTTGGACGACTTTCTTTTGGCCATTTCGCTTTAGCCCCCTTCTCCACAAGGGAATCGTGCAATCTTCCAATTTACTCGAAAGGTATACTTTTGAAGTAGGGGTACCCACAATCAGTCGTGTCCTTTTGGTGCCAAACAAAAGGTAGCAGGGAGCCAGTTTGGTCCCCCTACCCAGAGATTCCTGCAGAACCGTCAGACTCAAAGTCTTTAAGCCTCAGAAAGTCAGCCACCAATCTGGTCGGTTGAAGAATTGAGCCCGGATGCTCACGGAAGTCCGTGACACCCTGGCTCAAGCGTCAAGTGATCGATTGGGGCTGAAGGAAGTCGGATTTACCTCTTCAGCGCCATTTTCCCCGGCGTTTCAGTCCACCCCCTTGGTTTGGATTTGGATTTGGTGTTGCGCCCCTGATTCTGGGTCGGAGGGTAAATGGAGTTTACCACACCAGCCTCTAGGTGCTTCTTTTCAGGTCATGCTCGGCCCACAGACTAAATCTCCAAGGTCCCTTGGTGGCTTCCCGAACGAACGAATGCAGGACATGATTTGCGATTTGCGCAGTTTTTTTTTTCTTTAAAAAAATAAAATAAAAAAATCATGTTTTATCCATTTGGGGTGAACGAGCCTAGACATGATATATGCCCATGATGAAGGCTCTTGGTTGGCGGTTGGGCTAGTTGCCGGTCTACGAAGAAGTGCAGCAATTTTGCAGGAAAGTAATTAGATGTGGCCATGGTCAAAATCCCGTACCCCCAGTGAACATCTCAATCCCCAACGAAAATAGGTCTAAAATGAGTGGTGAGTTCACCTACCCCCAAACTGGGATCCCAAAACGGTTTTTGACAACCACAGCCATGTCGCAATTCCCTTTGCGTTGAGTGCCGGGGGTGACCGGCTGGCAGCTGCCTCATGGCTCGTGAGCAGGACGTGTGCGAAAGAAAAGGGTCGCCACCTTTTCTTGCGCACCCGTGCCTTGATGACCCCTTTCTAGGAGTTCATCGCCCAAATTTGGTCTTTGCCATGCTGCCAAGGATCGCCACCCCCTAAAAAATGGAGTTGGGGGAGGGAAATTTCGACCCTGGACTTCCATTACTGGTTCCATGTTACTTTTTGTGGGTAAGACTTGGAAAAATTGACTTGGGGGGTGTGGCCACCGTGTGCGTTGTCCTGTTGGAAGCCGGGCCCCCCTCCTTGCGGTAGGGGAGATTCGCCATTCGCCTCGCGCTCCGCCGGAAGGGAAAGGCTTGCTGATCAAAGTGGCGAATGACTTCCATTTGCGGAAATGAATATGTTTTTTGTAATTGTCCCTTGTTGATTGGTTTTAAAAGGAATTTGTCACTACTGGAGATATTTTTTCCGGGGGTCTTAGCCAAATGGAAGATGAAATTGCTACTAGGCAGGACTTCCCCCACCTCGCACCAAGCTCGCAAAACAGCTTCGCTTTTCCATTGTATATTGCATGGATGCCAGAGGAATTTGACTCTATGTCTCTACCAGAGCGGCGAGAGCCAAACAGCAGCTAATCCATCGCAAGAACGCAAAAGCCACGTCCGCTTCCAGCACCAAGGCATGTACACAACATTTATGTTGTCTTAGGAAGCGCGTGTTTTGCCATGTTTTTCGGCATTCAAAATGATAAATTGCTGTAATTGAAAACTCCATGCCATGTTTTTCTGCATTCAACCCGCCTCTTTCATACCAGACGCTACGGGGGACTCAAAATGCGACTTGTCATGGGATTGGGGGGGGGGGGGGGCGCATGCTATACCCCCTTTTTCTGGCTCGATCACAGAATCCTGCTTACTGTGAGAGGGTTATTCATGTTCCGGCTGCTCTTTTGGATTAGATCGGCATCCAGGCAAGCGAATCTGACGTGGGCAGTACGCAGTGCGCCGCACTCGCTCCGTGCAGCTGCTTTGTGCTCAGGCGTAGTTTGCCAAGTGTCATCCCGACTTATGTCATGAGGCTCAACTTCGTGCTGCGCTTGCAGTCCGGCAGCGAGGAAGCGCCATTCTTTGCCCGGGGCTGTCAAGGGGACCCTTACACCTTGCAAGTATTACTTCCATTTGCTTAAGAATATTGTTTATTTTCCCTTGTCAGTTTTAAAGTGTTGAAATATGTAGCCCAATACGAATGTTGTCATATACAGTTGTACAGTTGAGACTACTGACATGTTTTGGCTCAAGAAAATAAGGCGCTCCGAAGCGGCCAAATAGATTTTCATGGTAGCGGGGAGCAGTAAAGGTTCAGAGGGACCTAAGCGCTCAATTTGGTACTACGCCAGCAGAGGGCGTGGATCAGTACCGCCTTGGAGGCGGGGAGGCCGCGGACGCAGGAGCCCGGCGGCGGTAGAGCCGCCAGGCGAGGAGGGCGCTTCGGTCGTGCCAGAGACCGAGGAGCTGCCCGAAGAGGCCCCGGTGGAGGAGACCGGGCCTGAGCAGCTCGGAGGAGCTGAAGAGGGGCCAGAAGAATTGGCCTCAGGACCGGATTGGTCCCCCAACGAGGAGAGCGTTGCCCAGCAGGCAGCTGAGACAGAGAGGATCTTAGCTAAGCTGCTGGAGGAGCCAGAGGAGCCAGAGGAGCCAGAGGAGCCACCAAAGAAGAGAAAGAAGAGAGAGGATAAGCCCCCAGAGCCGAAGAAGCCGGCGCGCAAAGGGTGGATCGTCAAGAGATCCACAGAGGCTTCAGCGTCGGACTCGGACGCCTGGGGCAACTGGCGATCTCCTTTGATCGCCCTGGCAGCCCCGTCCTCATCGCATCCGGAGGCTGCCAGCAGCACAGCACCAGCACCAGCAGCAGAAGCAGCAGCTGAGGAAGAGGAGGTCCAAGTAGAATCAGAGGAGGAGGCCCCTGCAGCAGCTGAGGAGAAGCCCGAAGAAGCAGGCAAGGGAAAGGGCAAAGGCAAGAAGGGCGAGAAGAAGAAGAAGAGCAAGGCGCCCTGGCCCCGCGTGAAGGAGAACTCAGCCGGCAAGTGGAAGGACGGACGCCGGTCCAAGGAGGCGAGGTCCTACCGGTTCTTGCGGGGCTTGGTCAAGTTGAACTTGAAGCGCAACAACCCGATCCCGCCTGCAGTCCAGGAAGCCCTCGATAAGTTTGAAGAAGAGTACGGCTACGAGGTGCCTGTCCCCAAAGGCTTTGGCAGGAACGTGCAGCCAAAGTCCCCCTCCAGGTGGTCCAAGGCAAAGGCCCAAGCGGGAGTTGACCCGCCGTAAGAGAAGGCCGACCAGTGGAAGCACCTCGGAGGAGGAGGAGGAGGAGCCCACTGCCAAAGCAGCCGCAGCAGCTGAGGAGGCAGCAGCACCGGGCGCTGAGCCAATTGCATTGCTGCCGGAGGTGGCAGCCGCGGCGAAGTCTGCAGGCCGCGTGATCAGTGTGGCGCTAGCCACGCAAGAGGCAGCACTGCGCAGAGTGCGCGCAGGCAAAGCCACCCCGGAGTCTGCATTGGCCAGCAACTACCGCCTGAGGAACGCGGCAATCGCTCAGGAAATTGCCGAGAGCAAAGCACCGGCTCAGGGAACAGCCGGAGCTGCCGTAGAGGCAGCGATCAGGGCCCAGGTGTTGGCCCGTGACAGCCTAGCAAAGGCTTGCAGCTCGTGCGACGAGAGGCACCGCGCCCAATACCCGTGGGTGTTGGAGCGTGCGGCGCGCATCGCGAGCCAAGGCAAGGGCGCGAAGGGCGCGACGCCTATCGCACCTGCTGCTGTCACCACTGCATCAAAGGCCTTGCAGCCCAAGCTCAAGCTGCAGCCCAAGGGACAGCCCGAGGAAAAGCCGGGTGAGGAAGTGGCCAAAAGCAGCAAAGGCCCGGTGGCCTCAAGCCCAAGCAGAAGCCACCGGGAGCTCCGCAGCCTAAGTGGTCCGGAGTCCGCTTTCCGACTGAGCAGGAGTCCACAGACTCGGAAACCTACACTTCGGGGTCCGAGATCTTTGTGGAGGAGCCCGCCGAGGATAGCGAGGCAGACGTATAGTCTGCCGAGGGCCAATGGCAGAATTAGCTGCCATACAAGCGCAACTGCAGCAGATCCTTGAGGAAAATAGAGTGTTGCGCGAGCAGCAACAGAGGCAACAGGAACAAACTGCCCTGTTGACCCGGCTGGCCGAAAGCATGACAGAATTGGCCAGGAATACAAAAAGAGAGGAACCCAGGAAGCTGTTGGTTGACACAAAGGGGATTGGTAAGCCGGAACGGTTCAACAATGAAGAGCATACGTTCCGGAAGTGGGTGCGTTCAGTCACAAACCTTGTTGTCAGCATCTTTGGGAAGGAATTTGAGAAAGTATTGGACTGGTGCCTCGATCAGGATGGGCCCGACGACATCACTGTGGACGAAGTCGAGGCCGCGCATGGGGAGCCGGACGGGGTGTCCGGTTTACCAGACATAGGGGACCAATTGTTTCGTTTGCTTTCTTCCTTAACCCATGGAGAGACTGAGGACTTGGTGATAGGCTGTTCTAATGGGTTCGAAGCGTGGAGAAGAATCCACCGCCGGTGGGATCCCCTAACCGCCGGACGGAAGAGAAACATACTCCGGGCGATATTGAACCCAGAACGTGTGAAACGGTGGGAAAATGTGAGGGCCGCAATAGAGCAACTCGAGGACCTTTTCAGGCGATATGAAAATCGCAAGAACGAAGCTGGTGAGAGAGAACGCCTGTCAGAAGACATAAAGGCGACCAGCTTGGAGTTGCTTGTGCCCTCAGACATTGAACGCCACCTTTTGTTGAACAAAGGACGCCTCACAACCTACGCACAGATGAAATCAGAAATTGACCTTGTGATTGAATCCTCTTTGGGAAGTAAGGCACCGATTTCACGCCCTGGCGCAGCATCCTCATCGGACAGTGGTCCGGCGCCCATGGACGTGGACAGCCTCACAAAGGTCATCAACAGCTTGGTCAAAGGCAAGGGATCCGGTGGAAAGGGCAAAAGTAAGGGCAAAGGTAAAGACAAGGGCAGTGGGGGAAAAGGTTCAACTTCCAAGGATATAGTTTGCTTTAACTGCGGTAAAGCCGGGCATAAAGCTGCGGAGTGCTGGAGTAAAAAGAAGGATGGCTCAAACAAAGGCTCAAGCAAAGGCTCAAAAGGAGGTGGAAAGAAAGGCAAGAGCAAGGGTAAGCACAAAGGAGCGAACTCACTGGAAGAGGACACAGGTGAGGGAGCCCATGAAGAAGAACAACCCGAAGGAGAGCTCGATGTGGGTATGTTTGAACTGGGTGCACTTACAGCTGGAGAGGACCTCCAGGCTATGGAATTCAATTTGGACACCGGTGCAGCCCAGACAGCAATCCCATCGGACTGGGCAGACAAAGTGCCGGTCAAGGAAGGAACTGAGGTTATGTTCAAGACGGCCTCAGGTGAGCTGGTCCGTGGGACTGGTACGGGTGTGTTCAAAGGAACCGGAGAGTTTGGGCACTGCAGCAGTGTCACAGGCCCGTTGGCTCCGGTACACAAACCCTTGGTCTCGGCCTACCAATGCTTGAAGCACGGCAGAGTTGCGGTGCTAGACGAGCATGGCGGGAATCTGATCCCGCAGGACTCCAAGGTTTCTGGCAAGATCTTGGAGCTCATTGAGAAGGAGAAGAACAAGCACCATGCGAAGACCTACTCAGGGTTTTGGGCGGCAGCCCACAGTGGTGTAAGTCCGGCCCAAGCCATGGCAGCAGCAGAAGATGCCGTGCCCGCCGGACGAGGAGATGAGGACATGGGAGCACCTGAGGGCCGACCTGAGGGTGTTCCTGAGAGAGAAGAGGAGAGTGAGGAGATTGCACCGCCTGCGTTGGTGCACGCACCAGCGAACCCGACAAGGGCGGAGGTGGACGAGCATGAGTCCACAGGCCATGTTCAGTACAGGACTTGGTGCCGGCATTGCGTTGCCGGGAGAGGCCTAGGTCAGCAACACAGGTCTCGAGATGAGGAGAGTAAGAGAGATGACGGTTTACCCATCATCGCGAGCGACTACACCTTCATGACTACAGATGGCAAGGAAGATGGAAGAGCCAAGCCTATCTTGGTGATCAAAGACAGCCGGACGTTGTCCGTGGCAGCCACTTTTGTGGATGCAAAGGGTCCTACACCCTATGCCGTGAAGTTCTTTGCCAACTTTCTGAAGCACTTAGGCTATCGGAGAGCGGTCATGATGAGTGATGGTGAGCATTCGATTGTTGCTCTTAAGGAGCAGGCAGCCCGTGAGGCTGGAGTGGAAAACGTTCCACAGGAGTCCCCGGTGGGTGACCACCGGAGCAATGGACTGGCGGAAAATGCAGTCCGTGAGGTCAAGAGGCAGGTAAGAGTCTTGAGGTCTTCTTTAGAAGAGATGATCGGCAAGGTTCTACGTGAGGACGATCCCGTCCTGGCATGGCTTCCGCGGCATGGGGCAGACCTGATGTGCCGGTACCGCAAAGGACCGGACGGCCGCACGCCTGAACACAGGCGTTGTGGTAAGAACTGGCGAAAGCCAGCGATCGCTATAGGCGAAAAGTTGTACTACCGTGAGGTAGGAGAAGGAGTACGACATCCCAAGGAAGGCCGGTACATCGGCCACCATGGTCGTACCGGATCACTTTTGGTGATCACAGCAGATGGTGTCAAGAGAGGCACTGGAGTCCGCAGACTGGCGGACTGTGACCGTTGGGTAGCCGACGGATGGGATGCCCTACGAGGGCTTCCATGGGAGGTGACTGCACGGAGGTCACCGGGCACGCCACGTGCCGGAGCGGCTGGAGAAGCCGTTGTCTTGGTTGGAGAGCCAAGGATGGAGGTGCCACCAGCAGTTCATGTCATGGCGCCACCTATGCAGAAGAGGATCTACATCCGGAAGGCAGACGTCGAGAAGTACACGCCTACAGATGGGTGCCCAGGATGCACATGCATTTTGCTGGGCCAATCTACCGTGTTGCCACACACGGAAGCATGCAGAGCCAGGATTGTGACTCTGATGCAACAAGATGAGGAAGGCAAGAGCAGATTAGAAGAACACGAGAGGAAGA